ATGCAACTTATTAATTTTTCTTTTCTGTTTTGTACCATTAATTAACAATCTAATTGCTATTATTCATTATTTGTGACTCATGTATGTGTATTACCAAAAAGACTACTCTTAGAAATATTCTATAATGCTTGTAGATTAAGGAATGAAGATGTTGAATTGCAGAAGATTACATAAATTTGCATTTAAGTTTCACAATAAATATTTAAAGATTAATAATAACCATAAAAAAACTATCATTTAACTTTCTTATTTTTTGCTAAGGGGCCCAAACACAACCAGATATGGAGTAGGCTGCTTTATGGAGAAGTACTATTGTTATACAGGAAATTCAGAATTTTCCAGAATTATTCACTAAATCAATAATTTGGAATTGCATACAAGGTGATAATCTCTGAAGTTACACCAACATGTGCTGCCTCAAAGATGTTACCAGTCCTTTTGGCTGTATACTGTTCTACTGATTCCTGATCCTCTCCATAGCTAGACCATACACAACTTTGTTTTCCAGCAGTCTCATGCCCCCTAAATGTCATTGAAGATGTTTCATGATTGTTGCTTTCACTTTACTAGTGAAGAAGAGGTTGACATTTTGTCAGTAAAGTTGTGATGTATTTAATAAAGGAGCTTCTCTTCTGAGCTTATCAGCTTCCTTGTTTAGCTTTACCCTTATATGTTATTTATCATATATTCTGCTGATGGTCTTATCATGTAGCTGCTTTGCTTTCTACCATCCATCTGGAATCTCTGAATTTTGCAAAGTTGGAAATATCACATGGGTGGCACTGTCTACATGTATGTCAAATAAGTACATGTGACTTGTAAACTCTTTTTAAGTATAGAAGGTGGGTGAGGCTATTGTCAGGGTGTGGAAGTATTTATTTCTTGTGTTTTCTGAATTGGCCCAAAGGAATTTGAAATTAGGATGGGTAAATAGTGCTGTACACATAGTTGTGTGTCTAGACAATATGCGTACACTGTAGATGTTCTATTATTCAAGTAATAGAGATGAAATGTTAAGATCTGTGATTGTTTGTGTGTCATGTGACAATACTTTTAAAGTTTAAATATTTTTTTAAAGGTTTATTTTAAAATAAAAGAATAACAACTTAGATAATATAAAACTTTTAATTATAATGCACATGATAATGCTAATTTTATTCAAATACATCAATAGTAAAGTTGTTTGATAAAATTTTGAATGCAACTCAATAAAACTTTGTGATGTGCAGAAAGAAGTTTAAAGAGTACATGGTTGTCAAAGGTTAATGCCTTTGGTAGCTCTGGTTATCATAACATTACCAGAGACCTTCTGGAATAACTTACATATACTAAGCTGGTCGAGCCAAGTATAATTTGTACCATGGTGTGATAATTCTTATTTGGACATTAGCCTAAATAAGTGAAATTTTTATCACAGTGAAAACACGGTGTTGGTTAGAATATGTAATATATCTACTTGTATTTATTAGTTTATTTTTATTATTTCATTATTATGATTATTCTGCATTGTTGAATTACTATACAGTTGTAGGACAAACCTGAGACTCCTGGGCTGATCAAGCCTCATGAGCTATTATTGGGTTTACAGCTGAAAATATTGTTAATGGCAAGGGTATCGAACTGAAGAACCCTCAGATTCTAACCATTACAAGATAGTTTGAACAGTATTTTTAATAGCTGTGGTTGTTACTTGGTGTGTTTTTAGTCTTAATCTATGTATTGTAGGTAGCTTGCTTTGGTCATAAGGTTACAACTTCCCAGGTATTTCAGTGTTTCTTCTTGAGGAATACTAGTGTCTGAAAAGGGTGGTGATAATTTGTCCTTATCAGCATGTCTGTTGTTGAGTGTGCAGAACATGGCTGTGATTTGGGCAGGATTGATGTACATTCCTGTGTCATTTGATCACCATGCCAAATATGGCTACATCTTGCTTTCAATTTCAGATTTGCTTGAGCTTGTGCTGTACACCAATATTATGAAAAAGTTTCTTTAAATCTTGTTCTGAAAATATGAATGATAACTAATGATCCAAAAAGTGAATAAAATTCATTTTTCTTCTTAGGCCTAGTGCTTAGCATGCCAAACTGTGAATCCATGGATGGTGGTTACTGTTCACTAGTTCCCTTCTCTCTAATCTATCAGTTCAAAATTAGGGGATGGCTAATGAAGAGTGCCATCGTGTAGCTTTTGGTGAATATTTTAAATATTTTTCCAAAATTACCTTTGAGTAATGTGTGAACAGCTTTTAACGTATTACAAACATATATCAGTTATAACTTGGAATAAAAAAAAAAGGTGGATTTGCAAGAAACAATCAAATTAAAATCCATCTACTAAAATCATTCCAGTGGAAAGGAGATTGCACAGGCTAGCCAACTAGACTGAAAAAGAAATTCTAAAAGTGGAAAAATAATACATGAATAAAGATAAAACACAGTAAATTATTTTATTGACTCTTTCGCTGTCATTGGCATATATATTTGGACACATTGTGATATTAACTACTTGGTGTTTGGATTTTGTATATCACCAAATATACATATCATAAAATGTGATATACATAAGATGTAAACAGTCTGAATATACAGAGTATAACAAGAGAAAATCAAAAAATGTAGCACAAATGAAATAAATAAATTAAAATAGGTTAATATAATTTAACCAGTTTCAAGTTTCAGATAAGTAATGAAGTATTAAAACCTATTTTTTTGTTTTTTATTATGTATCTACAAATAAACCTGACAATGGAAGAGTTATCTATAAATGTGGCAGTGAAAAGTTTAAGAGCAAGTTACTAAAATTAAAGATATAAAGTTGGACAGAGCAACATAAAAATAGCAAGAATTTTACTTTCACAAGGTTCATGAATGTACACATATAAAGCTCACCCCTTTCCTAAGTAATATTTTTTTTTCAGACATGGTACTTATTATGCAGACTTGTTTTATGTTCATTGTAAGTATAACTTTAAACTAATACATTTTTCATAATGTTATAGTATACTGAAAAATAGTAGAAATTATAAAATTTAGTGTCTTTACATTTAAGAACAAACACATAACAATGTTCTTTTGCCTAATAATTTAATGTTTTTTTTTTTCTTTTGAGATGTTGGATTTATTATTCAGACTTTTTCCTTTTAATGACATATAAATCTATTACTTTTTATCTTAATTTTTGAATTGAACTTTCAAGTAACAAAATGCCTTTATGTACAGAAATGTTGCCCACTTAGCTGGCTTTTCACAGCATCAGTAAGATGTTATTTTTGTCATTAACTAATTGCTGTAGACAGGTTCAAATGACTCAATTTTTGCTTGTAGTAAAGAGGAAATTTATCCTTGAAAGAAAACTTTTTGGTAATTTTTTTTAGACTGATGCAATATAATAGGTACTAATATACTACTATAAATGGCTGATTAAGTATTTCTGGCTTCAAATTTCATGGTGCTTATGCAGACAACAATACTAACAGAGAAGGTTACAACATTCAAAGAATTGGCATAACCTTGAATATGTTTGGAATTAGATTTAGTTATCTTGAAAAACAAGTCTAGTTATGGTAATTGACTCATTTTTTGGACAGTGTAACTTAATAATAAAGCAAAATACAAATGTAATAATAGGAAGCATATATTAAATGTTTTGGAATCTTCAAAATTCCATCATCAATAATCTAGAGGTACAAAACAAATAAACTATTTGTAATCACCAGAGAATTGTAATATACATAAGAAGTAAACAGTCTGAATATACAAAGTATAACAAGAGAAAAATTAAA